TCTTTCCCTTTTAATCGTGAAGCCTGTTATTAATCGCCTTACTGCTATGAAGGCCACAGGAAAGTGTGCACCTCTAATCAAAGGTTAACAAGCTCTGACAATTGTTGCTTCAAGTTCAGAAGTTCTTATGACTATATATTAATCCAATTACCTCTTCTAAGTCTCTTATTTTTGCTGGCAGTTATAAAGTGACCATTTAAATTTTGCTTATTGAGAAATAACAACTGATCATTAACAAAAAGCAACTTACACTTTTTTCTAACACAGCATGAGATGGAAAATCAATTTCTAAGAGGTCTTTCAAGTTCTGTAATAAACTGTTTTCTGGATCCCTGCAGGTGAGAGAGAGGCAGAAAAAAGTCAACACTTGGGCTGGCAAACACCATTTCAGTTTCAAACCTATGTTATTAAAGATGCTTACCACAGGTGCATATTGTTGTTCAGCTTAATTCTCAAAGGGTTAACCACTGCAAACAATATACATAAATAATTACATCGGCTTTAGTAGGATCCCCTTTGCTCCTTCACCCAATTCGACCTCGTATTTCAGGACTGACAGAGAAGGCAAGGGTTGTTTTTTGTAAATTATTTAAGGTATCTAAGTCAATGACTGCTCATGGGTTTTTTGTTTCGGAAATTCATTATACTAATATTTAAAATATCGTACTGTTGAAGATAGGACCTTATTTACCTTAAAAAGATGGTGAAAAGCTGCGAGAAACAGAGTAAGAGATGTAAATATTTCCAATATTTCCAAATGCAATAATTTTTTTATTTTTTTTAAAAGAAAATTATATGAAAATATAAACAACTGGGTAACCATTTGTAGGACACAGGGATCCCTCTAAACTGTGCTAGGAAAGCACTGGGGAAAAAAAAAGAACAAAACAATAAGCTGTGGATTTAGGCTGTTAAAAACCCCAGCATTTGCTGTGTAAAGAACTCTCCTGCACACATATTCACCTTAATTCTTGCTTCTGCTTAAGTGAGTCTACCCCAGGCATCTGACACCCTAATGCTTGCTCACCAGAGACCCGATTCGAGAGGAGAAACAAGTGGTGGGTGTCTCCTGCCTTACCATGATCTGCTCCAAGGAAATAACACTCAGGGAGCATGTTTGGATGCTGAGGGTCTACCTCAATGTTCACTGAGACATTATTTCCTGCAACAAGAAAGCAAAGAAGTCACAAAGGAAGCTTTTCTTTGCAGTCAAGTATTTGAAAACAAAAACATTAACTTTTTTTAAAAAGCAGTTTTAAATTGGTTAATACAGGCTGGTTTTCATTACTACAAATAATAAAAAAGTTGGTAGGTATCCAAATTAATTGTACAAAATATCAATATATATTAAATATTTAAATTTCAATGGACTGTAATTAAAAACAACTGATTAAAAAAACCTGCCAGCCTTGGATTTCTTTTAGGCTAGTCTTAACCTTACTACTTAGACTTATTTCTGAATAATCAAACTCAAGCTAGATGACATAATCCATTTGAAATATGAGTGAAATTTTAAAGGTTATATAGTAATTGTTATTAATCCTTCATTGGTTAGTCAAAAATGCAAGCATAAAGACAATATTAAGCAGTAAAACTCAGTTCCCTGCCCAGCATACTCCTGGCTGAGCAAACAGCAGCGTATTTTTTTGAAATAGCATCTATTTTTCTCTTGCAAGATACACCATCATCCTCATAAGGTCTGCTACTCATAAGGGCTAAGCAGCTCAAAAAATGTTCTGGATCTAGGTTAAAACCCCACAGCAAACTGTCTTTTAATTAAAAACAGGTGAAACCCAGCATTTTTTGTAATTAAGAGGCATGTTAGGCTTGTTCTCCTTGAAGAAATTGGAATGAATGAAATCAAAGTTTAGTTACAACTGAAAGTTGCCTGTGCCCAAATACAAAGGGCTCAAAGCTGATCACTGCCCTCCACTGATCTCATGCGAGGCGCTTTTTGAGGCTTTTCTTTTCATTGGTCTGTGTCAAAGTACAGCAGAATGGGGATAAAGCCACCCTGACTGCACACGCACGCACACACAAAGTGTTGTCCGACCCATGTCATTTCAGCTGGTTGCTGAACTTTTTCTGTCCCTCCCTTTACCCCCAGTGGAGGAGCAGCCTCAGCACCCCTCTAGCTCCCCTCTTTCTTCATGCTGCAGGCACTCAGTCTTTCCACAAGTTTCAGGCACAACATAGGTTTACTTTGGTCCGTTATATGTTCTCAGATTTCTGCAATGTGCTGTTGATATTCTGGATTTCAGCTAAATATCAGCACTCTTCTTTCAAAGTTAACATTGCCCCCCATATTTCTAACCTCTGGCAGTGGCAAGTTTCTCCTTTGCAATTACAATACTCCTTATCCTATATATATTAAGACCTTAAAACGCCAGACATCAGCACACGGATTAAGGTACTTTTTCAGATGGTTAACACTGTAAGCCCCTAACCTCCTCTGCCTCGTTTTACCGCCTTTTTCTCCCTTTGGACTACACTCTAAGATTCCTTTCACTTTTCCAGGACAGAATCAATCTAAAGTAATAATCTGTTACAAAAATCTGGAATTGGTGAAAAAGGCCTTCATCTAAGCTGATTTTTTACAAATACTGACTTTTCTGGCGTTATCACGCAAGTTCTCAGCTTCTGACAGTTACATGTTTATAATTTACAAACACACAGCATTTTCCTGCAGAAACTTTCCTTTTATGTAACAACATAAAGTTGTAGTTAATTACCTAAACAGGATCAGTATTCTGTAGATTTTTTTTTTTAATACAGAAAGTAAAAGACTTGTCTTGCTGATTGCTGATTTTAAGTGCAACGTTCCATTTTTCTAGCTCAAACAAGCACCACCTGATCAGATAAGCAAAGCAAACCAGCACCCCGAGTTTGACTTCTCAAACCCACTGCATTCCTCCAAAGCTTTTCATACCTATTGCAATTCTCCTTGCTGTAGCACCCCGCGTGGGATTTTCTGGCTCGAGCACCCAGGTCTTCCCATCAATTTCATCCATGGCATCCCAGAATTCTTTCAGTGATTCTAATGCTGCCAGGAACTGATTATAAATGTCTATTAAGGAGTTCTAAGAAAATAAATTTAAACAAATTTTATATAGTTTCCACCTACAGCCACACAGAATTTAAAACAAACAAAACCAACAACAAAACAACAAAACTGCAGGCAATTTGAGAAGTGTTAAAATCAAGTATGTGTCCAGTTGTATCACAGTAGCATAAAACACAATCTCACAATTTTTTCAGCTGAAGCATGAAGAGAAGAATGGCTGTAACCTCAGTACAAGTATGTTCTCTAACCCTGGTGGTTCTTACATGTTGTGACATACACACATCATACCCAGACTTGATAGTGTTTTAATCTCTTTTTGTCAGAAAACTTCTCTGAAAACCGCTAACAACTATTAATTTGCATTGCAACTTGTAACAAACTATAGTAAAATTAAAGTAAAAATCATCATTATATACTTTTAAACTTCTAACATTCTGATAATTTGTTTCTACTTCAGCTGAGCAACACGGCAGTGGTACCAAATACAAATATACAGAAATACCCACAAAACTAAAGTAGCTTATTTATTTTTTAAAGACTCTAAGAAATATAGCCTAACAATGTCATAATTATCTCAAAATTAACCAGTATAAAACCAGGTACTTAACATTGGATTTCAAGCTGTGTGAATACAGTGAGAGAAGAAGAAACCACCTAATAATCAGAGGATTACACTCAAGGGATTTCAATATTTGAGACTGGCTTAGACGGAATCAGAAAAATCTATCATTATACAGGACAATATACAGAACAGCAATGCAAAAGAAGTCTTTAAAATCATCAGTGAGCACAGAAGCAGTAACTTA